AGGGACTCCACCTGCCAGAGGGACCCTACTCACTCCACACACCAGGGAGGGACCAAGGGAGGTTGACTCCAGGGCATGTCTGGCCCATCTCACCCAGTCCCGCCCCACCGGCCACCTTCTAATTAATTTCCTTTCAATGTGCATGAATCTGTGCACTAGGCCACTAATTATGAAACAAAAAATAACCCTTGCCATGGCCAGTGTGGCTCAATTGGTTGAGTATTGTCCCTTATACCAAAAGGTGGCAGGTTTGATTCCCAGTCAGGGAACATACCCAGGTTCTGGGTTCCATCCTTGGTTGGGAAGCATGTGGGAAGCAACTGATCAATGTTTCTTTCTCACACCAATGTTTCTCTCTCTCTCCCTCTCTCTAATATCAACAAATAAAAATATATTTTTTAAAATAACCCTGATGTTCTTCACTGTAATCAATCCACCTGCCTTGGTCCCTTCCTAGTTCTGTGATCTCAGTTAAATTAATAAAATTCCCCAGCCCCCACTGGATAGTAAACATTATGAGGGCAGGGGCATGTCTATTTAAAACCCATAGCACAATGCTCTGTATTTAACCATTGGAAATAGATTGGCTAAATGAATGGGTAAATTAATACAACACTACAAAAGGATTTTTAATTATCAGTGTTATAAAATATATAACTTTACTAAGATCGAGTTGTTACAGAATTTTGGCAGTATAGTAAATCTATGTATATCTTCTAGACTAAAATAAAATATATGATCATCTCTCTGAGCCTTTCACTTTAATGTATTTACTCTATTATTTATTTTAACTTTGAAGTCACTATCAGCTCCCTACCACCTGCCTTTATCCTTTTCTGGGAACGAATCATTCATTCATGCATGCAATTAACATTTACTGAGCACTTACTGTCTACCACAAACCAGGCTGCAAAGATTCATAAGGCTCTATCCCTGCCTCTAAAGGATTTATATGTTACAAAGAAAATCCAACGCATAAACAATTTATAATTAATGGAGGTGTTATGATAGAAGTAAGAAAAAGTGCTATGGTTATAAGAGTGATTCATTCTGCCTGGGGAGTCTGCTTCTGGGAGCTTACATGTGGGAAAGTGATTTTTCTCTTTGCAAACTAAATTGACTTACTGGTAATAAAAATAGTTTCCATTTGTGTGGTACATTGCAAAGTGCTTTCACATCCATTTATTATTTTAATCCTCACAGTAAAGGCTCTATAGTGTAGTGGTTTTTAAAAATATATTATTCATCAAAAAAGGGAGCTATAAGGTCAACAGATAAATAATATGACATTCATTCTAAAGCCCAGAGGTAGATGATACAAGTCAAAACTGGAAATGGGACTTAGTTGAGGCCTCTGAGGAACCATTCCAAGAAGAGCTCAGAGCAAAAAAAAAACCTGTCTTTTCCCATCATCCTCAGTGTCACTGCCTTACCTCAAGCCTGAGCCAACATTTTGCTCATAAGTTATTATAACAACCTTCTAACTGTTTTGTGTTCATTTGCCTCCAAACCATTTGCTACATTGGCCACAAAACAATAATTTTAAATGCAAATTGAACCATGTCATTTTCCTACAGATTTGCTCATTCTAGAGGATAAAGTCCAAATGCTTCTGCATAGTGCATAAAGCTCTCAACCATCACCCAAACCTATCAAATTTTTCGAATTCTTTATTGGTAACTCTCTTCTAACAATCTTACAGATTTTTCGCAAAGCCACCATACTGTTTCCATTTCCATGCCTTGAGAGTGTCTTTGTCCTAGAATTTCCTTAGCTCTCCACTATTCTGTCTGGTAGAATGAAGGTGGATATAGAAAGTGTGGCTTTTTTTGTTGTTGTTTCTATATACACTTACTCAATAGTAATGGCAAAATCCTGGCAACACAATTTTTCCACCTTTTTTTCCCCTCTTAATTCATCACTGCATATAATACAGCTTGGGAACCATTAGTCTAGCATTTTCTCCTAAAAGCTCAAGAAGCAATCACTATATGTTTTTTTTGTTTTGTTTTGTTTATTTATTTATTTATTTATTTATTTTTATTGATTAGGTATTACATATATGTCCTTATTCCCCCATTGCTCCCCCCACCCAACCCCCGCTCATGCCCTCACCTCCTGGTGCCTGTGTCCATTGGTTATGTTTATATGCATGCATACAAGTCCTGTGTTTGATCTCTCCCCTTTACCCCCACTCTCCCTTACCTTCCCTCTGAGGTTTGAGCATCTGATCAATGCTTCTCTGTCTCTGTCAGAGAAAGATAAATATCACATGATCTCACTCATTTCTGGAATATAATGAACAACATAAACTATGCTTTTTTTTTATTACACATCAAAGTTTCATGACATTTACATGCATTTAACAGAACTAAAATATATTCTTTCGTGAGCCTTGTCTGTGCTGTATTCTAAGGAACCAGTTGAGGATAAGTCAAAACAAGGCAGAGATAAGTGTATGATGGATCTTACATTCAATAAAATAAACAACAAAATAGATGAATAAGTTGAATATTATAAATTGGTGATAAATGCTATTAAGGAAATAAAGGCTGGTCTGAGAAGTGAGGTAGTTTGGAGAGGAGAGTCCATAAAGGTCTCTAGGAGGAAATGACATATTAGATGAAACTTGCAAGATATGAATCCAATGATGCAGTTGGGAGAAGAGTGTGCTGGGCAGAGGAAGAGCCTTGGAGTCGCTGAAGAACTGAAAGACCAGTGTGGTTGTACATATGAGTGATGGGGAGAGTAGGATGGGTCAATAGTAGATCAGGCAGCACCCGACAGGCCAAGGCAGGAAGCCACTGAAAGATTTAAGCAAATGAATGATGAAGCCGAATGCAACACTAGTTGCAGGGTGCAGGGTAGAAACACAATGGAATGTTATGCAGCCATAAAAAAAAGAAGGAATTCTTACCTTTTGTGATAGCATGGATGGACCTGGAAATTATTATGCTAAGTGAAGTAAGCCAGTCAGAGAAAGACAAATACCATATGATCCCACTTATATGTAGAATCTAATGAACAAATAAACTGATGAACAAAATAGAGACATGGATATATGGAACAGACTGACAGCTGTCAGAGGGAAGGTGGGAAGGGCAGATGGGATGAAAAAGGTGAAGAGATTAGCTAAAGAACATATATGCATCGCCCATCTACACAGACAACAGTGAGGTGATGGCCAGAGGGAAGAGGAGGTGGGGGCTGGGTGGAGGTGGGCAAGGTTGAGGGGGCATTTGTAATACTGTCAACAATAAAATAGAGAGAGAGAGAGAGAGAGAGCAGAAGAAGCAAGAAGACCAGTTAGGAGGCTATGGTAATGGTCCTTTAAGTTATTTTGATGAATGGAACTATCTTGGTGGCAATGGCAGTGTAGAGAAGTGGATGGATTTGAGAAACACTTTGGAGATTAATCCAACAAGACTATTTTGAAGAAGAGCAGAAAAATAAAAATCAAGGATGAGTCCTAGGTTTCTGGCCTGAAGCAGCAAGATAGATGACATAGTCATTTACTGAGTTTGGGAAGCCTGAGGGGATTTTAAAAATGAAAAAGGATTGAAGTTTCATGTTGGACATGTTGTGTTTGAGATGCCTAAAAAATGTTCCAGTGGAGCCACCATGTAGGCAGCTGGACAAACAAGTTTGTACTTCAGCAGGGGGTCCTGAGCTAGATACGTAGGTGTGGGCATTTTTAATATAGAGATGGGTGAGATGAATTTATGCATTAAATGTTTTACTGGAAATAATGCATGGAAAGTGTTGGGGTCCAACCCCAGCAGGCCAAGGGGTTCCCAAAGGTGTGGACGGAATCGGCAAAGAAGGAATGACATGGAGGCAGGGTTCAGTCGATCATCATAGCCAGGTTCTTTTTACGGAGACAGCCTCTGAGACAGCGTTCAGTTGATCAGCAGCCTAGCCAGGTTCTCCAGCCAGGTTCTGTGTTTTTTTTGTGTGTTTTTTTTAGAGAGTTTTTTTGTTTGTTTTGTTTTTTGTGCAAATGGTTTTTATTTTATTTTTATTTCCACATTTATATCACAAGGTGTCCACTTACTGGACCAAATAGAAAAGTTGCTCCCTTCTGCATCCTGAGAACACAGAAGTCTAGATACTGTACATTCACTAAGGCTTCTTGTTTTTGCAAATCGCGTTATGACAGGCAAACGAATCTAAAGGAATGGTCATGAGTGTTTCCAGCGCACAGACAGGTCTCCTTGCCAATAGTACAGCTTTACACACCGGTAGCACCTGTGGGAACATTTTGTTTTGGGGATGAGACTCTAGAAAGGTGAAGTTTTTCTAGATATGTGCAGAAAAGGGAAAATGAAAAAATAGAAAGGAACATTATTTGGCTGGTGGTGAAATGGAATGGAATAAACTTTAGAAAACAAATTTTTGCAGCATTTCTTTAAAACGTGAGTTTGAACTGAAACGAAACACGGAGTGTGGGTCAAACAGGCTGGCCAGGGGCCCACCTGATGCCAGCAGCTCATTACATCTGGCACCATGATGGAAACACTGGCTGGATGGGGTGCAAATAGGCCATGAGGTTGCCCACTGCCTCAAACACTCAGGGCCAAATGAAAGAACAGAAATGCAGATAGACGAGGTGCATGCTTCTGTCACTGTGTTAAAGGTAACTTCTCCCACAGGTTTTCTGTGCCTGCCTGCAACTGAGGTCCCAGCTCATGGATGCTGGGACGTGTCCGAACCTCTCCTGGGGTGGGGAGCTGATGCGTTTTATAGCTGGTTTGCTACAGAGTTCTGAACTCACTTTGCCGACCTTCCTTCCACGTGGTCCTTCCTTTGTAATTTTGTTAGTAAACTGGTAGCAGCATTTCACTAAAGAAGGAGAATTTTGAGGGAAGAGCTTAGAGAGACCTAAGACTCCCGCCTCTCCCTTCTGCCTCAGCTGGGCTCCAAATCACTGGAGGCTTCCAGGCCTGGCCACCCTCCTGCTAACTGCAAGGAGGGAATGCACTTAGAGGCTGAGGGGCCCATCAGTCTAAGCAAACATAAGGCAGAATGTTCAATCGCCCGCCGTCACCGTGCGGATCAAGCGATATGCACTGCGTCCAGTCATACCAGTTACCCAGTGTGTCCAGACACTCATTCACCCCTGGCCACCGGTGGGCGTGGATTCTGTCCAGATCGTTCTGCGTGACCTGGCGGCTTAGCTCCGGGAGGTCAGTGGATGGGCCTGGAGGCAGTAGCACCTGTGGCGTCCTGGCCCCACGCTGGGTGCTCTCCTTCTGTTTCAGGAACTCAGACATGAAGTGGTGGGCCCCTGGGGTTTGTGCGCTGGAGGATGAGAGCAAGCTGCTCTGCGGGCTTAGGTGGGACTGAATGATCTCATTGCGCGACAGCTCCATCCGGTTCATCTGCTCAAAGGGGCTTTGGAGGCTGGTCTTGGCCTCGGGTTTGTCCAGCCCTGTCCTGGGTTGCTCGGTGTGCACAGGGCTGTCGGCTCGCACTGGCTCTTTCTGGGTCAGAGGTTTGATCTGTCTTGTCATGGGGTCCAAGGTGAGCTTCCGCTCTTTTAACCGCACAGGCTTGACGCCTGCCTCGGCCACTTGGCCGCCCAAGTTCACCGTGTAGTCACGAGGCTGGCTCCTCTTCCTTTTGCGGCCTGAACCGCCAGAGGAGGCTGCATCACTGTCCGCCCTAGAGGAGTCTGGGGAGAAGCCAGCCCGGGGTAGGATGGACTCGGCTGGTGACAGCCCTGCCTTGCAGACCGGCCCTGCCAGTCGCTGGTGGCCCTCAGGCTGCTCTAGCCAGTGCACTGGGCTCTCAGCACTGGGCAACAGCTCTGGCCGCCGCACAGGGTGTGTGCATGGCTGGGCAAGTGGCAGTGGTGACGGCACCTGCGTGACATCGAGCGACTGGGGCCGAGGCAAGGGACTGGGCACAGAGCCCTTGGGTGAGTATGGGCTCCGCTGCCGGGCAAAGGAGCCCTTGTGCCGTGAGTTCCGGGGACTGAAGGAGCTGCGAGGTGGCCCTTTGGGGTGGGGAGGTCCCGAGGTCTGGTCCGCCCTTTCCAGCTGCTGTTGCACTGCAGCCTTGCTTTGCACGCAGGGCCTGGAGGGCTTGCCCAGACCTGGGGAGCTGGTGTGCGACCTCACAGAATTGATGGGGATCATGATGCCCTGCTTGTCATTCCTGACCTGCTTCGAGCAGCTGCTCTCAGGGCCCAGGAGTCCTGCAACTGTCCAAGGGGACCTGGGAAGCTCTCGGGGCTCCCACCTATCTCGATTGATGGGGAGAGTGATGAGTTGGAAACCAAGGGAGCCATGA